GCGGCCCCCCCCCCCCCCCCCTCCCGCCCCGTCCTGCGCCTCCACAGGGCCCTGCGCTGGCTGCAGCTCTTCCTGGAGGGGCTGAGAACCGGCCGGGAGGACTCCCGCACGTCCGTCATCTGCACGGACTCGTACAACGCCTCCCTGGCTACCTACCACCCCTGGGTCGTTCGCAAGGCAGCCACGGTGGCCTTCTGTGCTCTGCCGGCCCGGAACGCCTTCCTGGAAATCATGAACGTGGGCCCGCCCGAGGAGGCTGTCGCCATGCTGGGCGAGGCCCTGCCCTACATCTGCAACGTCTACAGCATCACCCAGGAGCTCTTTGCCCAGCACAAGCTGCTCGACCTTCCCTGATGGGGCGGGAGGGGATGTCAAAGAGCCACGCCACGTTCTGACAAAAGTAGGATGAACCAGGTGAAAACAGCATGTTTTCACAGGCACACAGGCGTCTGGTTCTCTGTCCATGGTCACTGTCCCTTTCCTTGTCCGGTGCGGAGCTGACAAGTTGGCAAAGCTGTTCAGGACGCCTCACTGTGCAAGTGAAAAAAAATGCATCAATTTTTGTTATATATATGTATACCTATCTGTGTGCGTGGAGCCTTGGCTCTGCAGTAAGGAAAATAGCACTGTTGGTGTGCTTAATGGATTTCTTTTTCCTCCTGGATTCACCTTCAGCTCTCCAGCGAGGCTGGGAGTGGAGGTTTTGGTTTCTGTTCTGAGCCAGACCGCAGCTTGCAGTTTCTGTGTGTTTACACCAACAGTCAGGACCTCGTGCGACAGTACAGCTTGCAGAGGTGCTGCCTGAACACATCTGCACTACACGTGAGCTCACTTTGCCACTTTTATCTACAAGCTGTTCCCTTGAGTAGCTCTGGGGGGTTTTGCCCTCTGTTACGCTCTAACCTTGAAAATACAGTCCTGGGCAATGTGTGTCAAAGCTCTGTCCCTTATGGTCACAGACTCCTTTGGTTACTGCTGCTAATTGTGTGTCCCCTAGAATTAAAGGAGGAAATGATGGTGTACATCAGTACTGTAAGAGACAGTTAAGCACGACCTTCCTCCTGCGTGGCTTCCCCTGCCTGTTAATCCATGCTTTATGCATCTTGGGATGTAGAATATTTTTTAATATGTACTGCACAATACTATATATCCAGCCAAGGCTGCAGGCTGTACCTTACCTGTTTTCCAGCCGTGCTTCTAAATTGTGTTCTCAGGATTATTAATATTTTTTTAATGAATGTGTCAAATGCCTAAAAAATTACTTCTCTGACTGTCTAGGGAGAAATCCGAACTTGTACTGTAAGTCACTACTTAGGTTTGTGGTGTCTGTTGCAAATCACTGTATGTAATAGCTGGTGTGCACATACACCAAAGTATGTAAAATGGCATTTACTTATCTTTCTGAAAGCTGAAAAAGCACTACATTGTTATTTCAGGGTGACATGGATATTTGAGGGAAGAGGGAGAAGCCCACAGGCTGTAACATGTTTTGATTGTATCTCAGATGGAAGGCATTTTGGCCTAACATAGCATTGAGTGATTCAGGAAATCACTATTACCTCACGGAGATTAGAGTAACTGGACATTAAAATATGTGAATAACGTGCTTCTGAAGAGTATCCTTTACAGGAGTGCTTTCTGGTTAACTTACAGTGTTACCTCTTCCTGTCTTGTCCTGCACTATCACTGCCTGTTTCCTTTACTGAGTGATCAGGTGTGAAACCAGTTGTAAGGAGCAGCCCAGGTGAAGTCAGATGCTGTGTGCTGAGCTCCTATTCTGATTACTCACATCTGGCAACAGTATCTTTTGCCTGAAGTTGGGAAATGCAATTTCCTTGAACATCCAAAATGGAGGTTTAGTTGCTATGCTGCGAAAACACAAATATCATTCCCTTTCTGCTAAGGCCACCTTAAAATGATTACATAGCTGCATAGGATAAATCTGCGTATTAAAATGGAGCAGCTCTATGTTACAAACTACAGAATACATCTTGCTGGGCCTCCCTTGCTATGTGATATAGATACAGTTGGTATTTCATCTGTGTAGTATATGAAATGCCTTAAACTATGTCAAGTAATGTTGTGTGTCAAGTGAAAAAATGTTTTAGATCTCTTTGGAGATTAATGCAGAAATGGTAGTATGACCACATGGGAAAATTACTTTTTCTGCCTTGTCACATTCATTCTCAACTATTCTCTCAGGAGGTAAATGTTAACGTTGATAATTAACTTGATTTTTGCCATTAAAGAATCAAACTTTCTCAGTAGGGAAAAAATTTTGTTGTGAGTTTATAACCATTCATTTTGTGCAAAGTATACTCAAGTAAAATACAGCTTTCCATCAGTCTGCATGCTCTCATTTAAACAAGTTACTGCCTAATGATAATTTTATTTTCCTGGTGTCCTGCTCTGTCTCCAAATGATGGGAAACTTTTTTACAGCCCCAGTTAGTTACCACTGAGTAAAACTAAGGGCCAGCACTTGGCTTTGGGCAAGTTCAAAGTCTGGCTGCTTTCACTAATGGGGCCAAATCCAGAAGAGGAAAACCTTCACCTGCAGTGACTGGTGAACTTAAAAGCTGCAACAACATACAGATTCACTAGAGGGAGTTTGAGTATTTTGCCCAAAAGTCCATCACGTAAACTATCTCCTACACCACCATAAGCATACTTGATTTTATGGGAAAGCATGGATGGGAGTAAATAATTGCCTACGTGTGACTTTTACACCATTCTAACAGCTTTTTGTTTTGAGTTTTTTGTTTTTCCTCTGTGCAGTTGAATTTGTAAGAACTTCTACAGTTCAAGCTAACACTTTAATATTCCATCAAGGGGCAGATATCCTTAAGAGGATGTCAGTATAAACAACTATATAACGTAGTTATAGAAGTCTACAACTGTTGCTGGCCTTAAGTATTCATACACTTAGCTTGCTACAGTGCACCTGCTTCTCTTCATTCATGGAAAAATATTCTAGCCTTGTGGCAAAAGTGGTGTATGCAGTTTTTATGATACAGTATAAATATATAACAAGCCAATAAAATGCAGTAAATTGAACTTTCCAATTCAGAGCTATCCTGTTTTCTAAAATTCAAACCTGAAAGAAAAAAATGCATACCAGGACACAACCTACATTACTATGCTGTGGAACTTGTGCCTAAAGCAAAGTTTTTAAACTGAAGTTAACATCATGGCTCAGTGTGAGGAAAAATTTAGATTGGCCAGTAACAATGTCCTAAAAATAGCAGCATCGCTGAGTAATAGCTCACCAACCTTGCAATCTAGGAATAATGTCCTGCTCCAGACAAGTGCTCGTGAGGCACTGAGGAAGATTTGGTTATCTCCATGGTGAGGTGACCTTGAATTTAAAAAAAAAAAATAAATTAATGCTGTGTACATCACTTACCATTACTCTTTAGTTCAGGCAACTCAACGTATTATTCTGAGGTTCTTTAAAAAATGAAGTATGTCACATTCCTCCAGTGCAGGCCACCTCTACTTAGGGAGCAGGCAAGTGAATGCTTGGATCCGAGACAGCCAGGGAGAGCTTCGGATACCAGCAGGAAGCAGTGCTGGTGAGCAAGTAAATTTTTCCTCCTCAGCCTCCATATGGGTAACAGTCATATTATGGTAGCAGGCGCTGTTCTCCGTAAGGCACAGTTCCACTCCTGTTAAAGCGAGCTCTTGGCAATGCTTTTAGGTGAGCAGCCTGCACTAGGATCTGCTCCCAGCATTAGACAAGGGACAAATCCATTGTTTGAGAAAAACAGCGACAGTTTCTACAAACACATTCCATTAAAGATGTTGTTTCTTGTTTGGTTGGGCTGGGGGAGAATTAATGGAAAAGCTGTGTCCAAATTAGGGTGAGGCACCTGAGTTCACCATCTATCCCACAGGAAGTCCCATTTCCAGAGCTGTGACAACAAATTCATTAAGTCACTCTGCTTGAGTAAAGGCTGCTCACAGAGTAAAGGAAACCAGGATTAGCCCAGTGATTTGCAACCCAGTACACTCAGAGGGTGTTGCTACATATTTGACTATTGCCCACTAAGCACAGAGCTACACATTTAATGCATTTTGCTAAACAAATTCTTCCCCGTTATTTTCATCTCTCCGAGTTCTATTTAAAGAGACTTCTCAGGAACTGATGAGCCTGGATCCCCTGCCCCTGTTCCCTCTCCCGCATTCTCTCGGAGATTCCTTGGAAACATTTTCCCCAGAACAATGGTCCCTGACCTGCTGCTGTGCTTGAGCTTTGGCTACGCAGCAGCTGCCAAAGCCACGTGCCTGTCAGCTCAGTTTCGAAGGCCTGGGGATTATATCATAGGAGGCTTGTTCCCTTTTGGAACGGACACCGTGAACCTGACGGCACGATCAGAGCCCACGTTGGTTGTGTGTGAAAGGTAAGAGGAACGTTACCTTTATCAGTACATGTTAACTTTGGTCACTTGGGCTGGCAAGAGAAAGGAAAAGCAAGTAGTCCTTCTGATGGTCTCGTAGGCGAGCATTAAAGGTGAGATGGAAACAAAGATTAGCTCTAAAGTGCTGGAGCACTGGTAGCACTGCTGTACTGTGCCATCAATTTCCAATCCTGAAATGGAAAATGTTTTCGTGTTTTCTTGATGCTACTATGCAGTCAAACTTCAGATGCAACGACCCCATTTTGATGAAAGCTTTTAGTGGCACTGGCTTCCTTAGTGTTTTCAATCTAAAACTTACACAAAGGTGTAAATGTCGCTTTTGCTTCCAGATGGAATGAGACGCATGCACTGCACTCCGCAGGCAGACCACACATGTTGAGATGGCATTATTGACTTTTATCAGGTAAAAGGACACCTCACTGTGCACAAGGCAAAGCAGGAAACAAAATCACCTGGCTTGCAGGCTTGCCAATGTGCCATCAGTACTTCCTACTCAATTACACCAAAGTGGTTCACACCTCATGTTACAAGTTGCTTACAGCTCTTTGTAAGGAGAATGAAAAGCCATGCTAGTGTCCTACCTGCTCCTTTGGCAGCAACGAAGCATGGAAAAGCATGGTCCAAAATCCTTCCATCTTCGCAGGCTATGAGGCAGGGAACACGCCCAGTGCACTGAGCCATACAGCGGAGGAGCATGCCAGGATGAAGAACATCTCTCCTGAATTAGCACGCACAGCATGCTGGCAACAGCTGGCTTCATGGCTGAACTGCACAAAGCTGAGAGTAGGAGGTCATCTGAGTCTTCACCCTCACAGCTAAACGTACTGGCTTCTCTTTACCTCTGTTCCTTCTGCTGTGAAGCACAGAGGATGTATTTGCTGACAGATGAGATTAATTAGATTTGAAAGGTGCTCAGAGCCTCTCTACTCAAAGT